ATGCAACATTAACATCAACGGCGATAAGTCCTTACTAGTAGTACTCTCAAGCACAACAATTGCCCTCAAGTGACTTTATATGGTGAGGTGTTACCAAAAAGCACATGAGCAAAAAAAAAAAAAAAAAAATGGGTGTTCATTTGATAAGAGATACACTTGGTAAGATCGCGTAAAAATAAAAAGAACTCAGCTAAGATTTAAGTTGTATTGTGTATTCTCCGACGCTGCTCACGTTTTATTTCCAAATCTAACAACTTCAAAATTCAAAATTAAACCGCAATGACAGGTTTCTACCTTTAAATTTAACTTTTGTCTGCAGCCCTTCCGCCACGGACCACAGGAACCATCAGCCTAGACTTAATTGAAAAACATCAAACGCGCCTATTTGCTCACCGCTGCCACTGCTGCCTCTTCAGCCGCAATAGTAATGTTTTAATTAAAATTTCATTGGTTAAATAAACAAACACAGCAAAAAAGAGAGCGGCGACCGAGTAAAAAGTGAAAGCAGAGGCATGCACTGGCCGACACTGTGGCTGAAGCCGAGGTTGCGCAAAAGGCGCTTGGCACTCGAAACAGGAATTGCTTGTTGCACACGGAAAATGTGGGCATAACAAAGGCATTTGTTACGCTGCGAGTTGTGGCAAATAAACAGAAGAGGCTGCAAGCAAACAAAAGTGCAAAAAAGTGGCGAGAGAGAGGCACACTTTGCCACCGAAAAGGCAGCAGCCCTGTTATTTAGCTTAATTTAGTTGTTTGAAATTTTCATTGATGTGCGATTTGGCAGCCGCGATGCGAAAAGGCTACCGCCACTGCCCGCCACCACCATGTCTGACGGGATTTCAGCAACCACAGCTATAACGAGTAGCTCTAACGAGCTATGAACTATTTCGATTTACTTTTTAGTTTTACTTATACTTTCGCCCTCACAGCGACCGCACTCGTTTGCCACAAAAAAAATGAAATGAATTTCAATGGTGAATAAATTTTGCAAACACTAGTTCAAAAATCATTTAGGGAATGTTTTTATTACTCTATTTCTGTCGGTAAATTTCTTGTTTTTTTTTTTTTTGTTTTTTTTTTTTTTTTTTTTTTTWTTTTTTTTTTTTTTTTTTTTTTTTTTTTTTTTTTTTTTTTTTTGCGTTGCCTTGATTCAACAATACAAATAGTGCAGCGTTGCATAAAGAAAAATTGCTTCTATTAGCATTCGCGGCAACGTTTGCTGGCGATGAGAGCAAAGCAATGAAAATGCAGCGCCTCAGCTTTCCTTAGCGCGCATTCCCTGCCTTTATTGTTTTTGCATTCCCAATGCATGCATTCCAAAGTTTCTATTTACCTTGAATATTTTTTGACTGGGGCATTTCATTTACTTTATGCTGGAAATATTTGGCAATTCCACACTCGGTATTTAATTTTTTCTTATTTTCATAAAGTGAAAAGAAGCCAGTTCACTCCTTCGTTTAAAAATACTTCAAGTAGCAATATTATATAAATATTTGGCAGTCAGATTTGAAGATTTCATTGGATGCTTCATCTATGTAAAGTTCGGGTAAGGCTCTATAAGCTTGTTCTTCAGCAGTATATTGGAGTTATTACATTATCTTTGTGATACGCTGGAAGCAAACGAAATCGCCTGTTTTCAACAAATACTTATAGATCAGGAGTCACAGCTATTCCAATGGAATTAGGTTACGATAAGTCTCAAACTCTGTTGAAGGAGGAAATTCAAAAGAACATAGGCTACGATATTATGGAAAATACAGTTTCAAATCATATTCACATTAAGTTTTCGGATATGGAATCTGTGATCTAATGACTTTAAGCTAATGGATAGTCTTTTCGAGTAGCTCAACAGCCTTCTTATGGAATGATTTCAGCGAAATTTATGAGTCCATAAATTTAAAATTTGCTGATTATACTGTAAAATACGAATAAAGGTGAGAAAAAAAAAGCAATTAAGGCACACAATTATTTCTGTGAGCCTTAATCATTAATTTTGTGATAAAAGTCCTTTGAATCACAAATCTCCTGGTGATTGTAACATACATTTTTATATTTGAGAGGCGATCAGCTTAAAAGAGCTATTTTTTTTTTCTTACAAAAAAGTTATAAATTTAGTCAAAGACCATTCAATTAAAGAATGACGTTTAAAGTAAAGTTTTGTTAGGAAATTAAGCAACCTAACTTGAAGATGACTTGACTAGGTTCGAAAAACATTTGCTATTATTTAAAGTAATTATCGTATAGAAGTTTCTTTAGTCAAAAAAGGCCCACGAAACTTTTTTTTTTAATATTGAAGAATATCCACAATTCTTCACATAAAAAATTTTAATTGAAAAAACAGGCAATGGTAGGCGTCTTCCCACGTTCAATTCTCGCTCATTTTTTCGCTCAAGTTATAAGCATTGCACAAGAAACGTCTCACTTGCAACATTGAATGCACATACACGCATATATTCGATATTGCTAGCGCAATCGTTGCACTCTCCACACGCACACACACACTCACACATAACTGAATGAGCAAAAACTAGCAATATCTACGCACTTGATGCGGCCTTGAGTGCTCGCCATACGCAAGTACCATCTAGCGTCGGCGTACAAAGGGAAAAATTGTGTTAACATCAGTGTTCGGCATTCCAGTTGAGCAAAAGTGCAAAGTAGCTATTTGTGCGTCATAAAAGTACAGTTATACTGGAAGCGCGTTTGTTGGTGAATATGGTGTATAAGAGCCTGAAGCTCAGGAGCATACATAAACTGGTATTGCCAGACAATATGAGACCCTGCGTCTACGTAACTATTAGCTAAATATATGAGCTTTCACGAAAAAGACAACCAAAGCAATACGTGCATAGGTGATTGTGATGCAAGCGTCGCAGATTCGCGTAATTTAGAAACATTGCCTATAAAAAAAAGTACCTTTTGTGGGAAGTAGAATATGTAACAGATTATTTAGGAAGTTCTTTGTGCTTTTCATTACATATTGTACGTAGACCTTTCGCGATAGTTCTAAGAAAATTAATTCTAACACTTTTGGGGCTTGAATATGAATGTATGTCTTTTATTGGACCAGTTTAGGTGTTAACTACTAATTTTTGCAGTAAATGAAACCTCATGAATCGTTTTAGTAAATGAAACCACATGAACCCTTTTATACGACGGATCTTAGTTTAGACGAAGTGTTTCAACCCACTTTCTGTTTAGTGCTGGATCATTCAATGAAAAGGTATTTTAAAAAAATTTAGGCTTGTTATTCGACACGGTTGTCATCGGCTCATCATTCATCGGTATAGTATCTAGTTTATACAGTACGATTGATCTTTTGTTTCATATAAGCCTTATTCTCTCCGATTTCAGTTCAGCTACTTATATCTAAAGGTCTGAAAATAACAAAAAATCCGGATAATATGGCGGTTGCATCAGCAATTCGATGTGAAATTTATTTTATTTTCCATCGTTTTCGGTGGTTTTTGACGCGTTATATTCTCCTATAGTTTGTCTCACAACTCAAATTTACATAAAAGTCCAATACTTTTTCCATGGTACTTAACGCCATCTTGTACATAGTGCCCGTAGATATCGTCGGAAGGTGTATGGCTAGGGAAGTTGCTATTGCACTCGGAGAATAAAGGTTCTTAAACGAGCATGTGTTTGAACACTCGGAAATAATCACACACTTCGACTTCATACCGGATCACGTGGACCAAGAAGTCGCCATATCCAACTCTGCCGGTTATTTCCCTACACATATCGTGACCCGTGAGGAAGTTGTGGATGGGAAGAATTCGTTGGAGAAGAGGCGCAGTGAGCTTAGCGGACAACTACAGCTTCAGGCTTTCTGAAAAGTTAAGCTAGAACCGCTATCGATACAATGGGTGCATCCGTATCCTCTTGTGTTCTATTACTAGATAGCTTAGCGGAAGCTTGGTCAGTGCTAAGCGACCAACGATACATGCACAGCCCTAAAATTCCTTTGGCTCAAGATCGATCGCAAGAGATGTAGTAATCTCTTTGTCCTCAGTAAGGCTTGCCTCCCTCTAGTTGCGGGGATTTTTATAGGCCATTGCCTTATTGGCGTGCATGCTGTAAGGTTGGGAATCTTACCGAACGCCATATGCAGAAGCTGTATGGAAGAAGATGAGGAGGAAAAAACTTAACACTTCTTTGTTGACCGTTCCACGTCTGGCAGTTCACCACTTAAACACTTGGGAGCATATACCTTCAGAATTCCCACCGAACTGGCGGGAATGGAAATTAAACGCCTGTGTAAATTTGTATTGGCTACTAAGCATCTTGCTAATTCATAAGTTCGAACACAGAAGTCCTTCTTTTTTATAACTTCACAAAGGCCTATATATAGCAGTTCATGGGCGATATCTCTACATCATCCATCTAAGCTAACATAACTCATTACTTTTTCCTGACACTTTTCGAATGTCAACTTTCTCTAACAAAGTCATTTTAAAGTCGGCCAAAATACTTTTTTGTATAGTTTCGTGTATTCAAACTGTATGCTTAAGGTCACAAAGAATCTTTTGATAGACTTTTGTTTAAGGTCATAATACATAGGTATTTTCGAAAACCATTGCATGCGAGATGCTGCAGTTAAGCTGTGTAGAAAAGCCTTTCTGTTTGCGATTGCGATTTACTTGGAGCTTGACGATCTCATGACAGGTTTTATACTTTGGCATACTAAGTATGTTTTAACAAAAATTTCAAAATAATATTAATTGCAAATCACTAAAGATTGTAATTGTATTTCCACTCTTGTTTGCGAAAATCTAAAGTTTAATAATACATTGCTTTGTGGCACAGTTAGCTTCGATCCGACAATTGGTTCATCTAATGATATAATTATTTGAAAATAGTACATACTATACTTGACTCGGAACGTAGAATCTCTTTAAAGCAGCAAAACATCAATATTTATCAAATATAATAAGAAAGCTCTGTCATTACTTTCAGAGAAAAATATATATTTTTTAATGTTGTGTCAATTTGAAGAGCTTTATGAAAATCTGGTCGAGCATTGTACACCCAAACGAAAACACGAATAAAACGGAATATTTTCTGATTTCTAACAGAAATTGAATTTCTTTGTATTATTACAAGAAATAAACAGCGCTTATATAATAGATCAGGTAATTGTGAGAATTTAATTAACTTGCCACATTGTTGCATAAACCCTTGCCACCTGCAGCTGCAAGCAACTTGCAATGTCGACAACCTCAGCAAGTGTGCAACGACTTCTCCAGCAATAATACAGCTAAACATTCAAACGATGCAACGACCAAGGGGAGATGATGAGCACAATTTTGCAGCAAAGAAACAAGCGTAGGGAAGAAAAAGGCAAGTACGAAATGAAATTAAGTATCTGAGAGAACATATGCAGCAAATGGTGGCAGAAGAAAGCAACATGACCCTAGCTAGATGGAGGAGTGCAAGATAAATATTGCAACAGCAAACAAATGATGTGCCAAAATGAACGAGTGCGAATAATTGCTCAGTCAAGTGGGTAATTAGAAAGTTTGGTAGAAGAGAGGGAATGAGAGATAGAAAGTGAGAGGTAAGTAAAATTGCATAAAAACCGCAAGTTGCATGAGGGGCTTATAATAAAAGCGTGAGCTTATTAGCAACTAATATGTGTGAGTGTATAATTTGTTGTTTTTCTAGCGATAAAAATTAACAGTGTTAATGGCTAGCGCTACGCTAATGGCAACAGCGTGGAAAGCTGGCATAGATAAAAAAAAAATAATCAAGAAAAACATGTTAACTTCGTTTAGGTTCGAAGCAATAATACTCTACACAAATGCCTAATGCAAGGATTCCAAGTCATTTAAGTACCATATGGTCACCCCATGGTCACCCCATCTACACAGTTTTTTCTTAGATTGTAACGTTTCTTTGGACAATAATCCATCCCAAATCTCTGGAGCAAAACTCGTTAAATTAACTTTTTTTCCATACAAATATTGAAGTTGATCGTTCAGTTTGTATAGCATCTATATGCTATAGTTATTCGATCGGAATATTTTTCTCGGATGTTAGACCAATGTTTTGGTCAATAGTTCATGCCGAATTTCAGGCGAACATATCGTCACACATGTTGAGGTTATAATAAAAGTAAAAAGCCAGAGCCAAGCAGCAACAAGTGTGACATTAATTTTCGTCTAGCGTTAAGTTTAAATTAATTTAGCAACAAAAAGATTAAATTACAAACAAGCGTAGCGAAACTTTGTAGAGACTGTCAACGCGCCGCAACCGGACAGCTGATGAGCATGAAAAATGGAGCGACAGCAAGCTCGCCAGCGCCACATTGTTAAATGCAGCAAGGCAAATAAGACAAAATGGCAGTGAAAGTAAAGTAAAAAAGTAGAAATTTATGTTTGCCGTAAATCAAAATGCTTTAATAAAATCAATATGCGCTTTAGCTGCGAAAATTAGCGCGCTAGTCAGCGTTGCAACTTTGCTGCCATAAGCGGCTTAGCAAATTGTTGCTATATTTATTTTTTTACTTAATTTCCTTTTCTCTCAGACATTTTTTTCCGCATGCTTATGTTACTTTTGTCTACATTTTGCCGCATATTATTTATGCTTTCACTTTTTCTCGTGGTTCACCGTAACAAAGTTTGGCGTCTAGGGTGCAGTTGCCAAATTAGTATGCTTAAATTTGTTGCTGCTATTTAGCAAAGTTTTTACGCACTTTCCGGGTAATTTGAAGGGCATGAAAGCATGTGTACGCCTAGAGGGACCACTAAGAAATAATTTTGTTAATTTATATCTTTTATATGGTAACTGAACTTTGTTTTCGGGTTACTTGCCTAGGGTGGATGTTTAGGCACAGAGGTTTCAAAAATGAGAAAAAGCTCAAAAAAGTTTTATATACATTAAGTGAAAACATTTAGGTAATCAAATTTAATGCGTAGATGAGATTGCAGGGTATCGGTTTTAAAGAATATGGCTGTTACTGTTATTTACAAGCATAACCCTTTTTCGCTCTTCTTTCCTTTCACTCTTATTTTTCAAGCACAGCCCTGTTTCTCTATCCTTCTCTGTCTCTTTAATGGAGTTCAATCTATCAGCTTAGTGGTTCTAGTTCTGTAAACTTAGACAGTTTTTTCTATAAAAATATTCTATACCTCGTTATAAATCTTAAAGCTGACGCCACAGACTCCGAAATTTGGTAGAAAATTTTAATAATTTCTACTCGTTGTTGGATCGTACTTCTTTCCTTGATGAAATGGCAAATGTTGGGGAAGTGAAATATCAGAAGAACGGCCCATATGGCACCGTTTGCTGCCCCTATCGGTCCACTTTTGTTGTGCGCTCTTGAAAAGACCTCAAATCTTACTTGTTTCAGATGCGATGTTAATTTTTTCGCACATTGACTATTTCTTCTGGTATGTGAACCATCATCAATTCTTTTTGCTCAATTTTTGAATTATACATTGAGAATGCCTAAATTTTCTGATAATCTTCTCTCTTGAGCTGAGAACTACGACTCATACGATGAAATTTCTTGGAAAATTAAGTTGTTTTTGTTGTTTTTTATTTTAAAAAACCAACCATATCTTTTGTTCTTTGTCTTCTGCCGATTATGTGTATTCAAAAATACTAAATTTGGAGCCTTTGACAAGATCTATAGCAAAGATGGCCCATTATCAGTAACAGTATTTAATTTTCTGATTTATAAGAAAAGTTTTCGAACTCTAGCTATGATTTTACGTAGTAATATTATAATAAATAATAATAAAAAAATTAAGAAAAACTTTTATCATAATTTCGTTGATCATTTTAAATTCATCATGGCATAACTCATGTTATTTTGACTTTAATTATGAAGAGCTATTTGCTGAGGGGATTTCTTGCGGTTAAATAAATAATCTTCCATTTTTATAATTTTAAGCTCATTATTTCATTCTACCCGTTCTAGTTCTATCTCTAACATCAGGCATTACGATGTTAGGGCTAAAAACTGTATCACTTTTTATGTATGTTTTGGACTTATATTTGTTGTTCTTCTAAAAAATAATTACATGCATGAATAAGTATAGGTTAGGTTAGGTTATACTGGCCGGCTACCATGSCATTCATAGACCTATTGGTTGCTAATAATGCTTTCGAAGCTTCTAGATACTTGAGTCGAGCTCTTTATATTGCTTGGCAAATGCATATGAGGTGTTCCAGTGTCTCTCTCATTTTAACTTCACTGCACTTGCTGCATGTATCGTTATCACTTATGCTCATTCGGCTCGCATGTGATACCAGTAAGTTTTTGAGCAGTCAAGAGGCCAACAACCGTCCGGTAGTTCCTTCGACACCGTGTGAGTAAGAAGCCACTGAATTTTCCTAAGAATGTCTTGATCTTGGCGATCCTGTATTACTTAAGGCATTGCATCCAGCCTTAATTCTCCTGTCAGTTATTTCTGAAATTTCGTTTTTAGTGACTTTTGTTTTTCCTGTACTTGTTCGATAGCCATAGGCATAGCTTTTTTGACAATTTCATCAGTTACTCCATTTCCCGGTACACTTTTGTGGCCTGAAACCTAGTATATGTGCAACCGCTACATCTACTGCCTCTCTTTTTCTAACGCCTGTGATTTTTCTACTTTATATGATTTTTTGAATTAAGGGGGTATTCTACTCAAGAATTTTGAAAAATTCAATTTTTTTTCATATATTTAAAGTTTAGACCCTTAAGAATATATCCACCAAAGGATTTTTAAAAATTATAATTATTACAGTTACTTTAGTGACGCAGTACCTAGCGCCCTAGTAAATAACTTAGACTGCCTACTATTTGACTCACTTTTTTGAACGCGTTTTTCTCGAAACTACTTTCTTCCACACGGTACCGGCATTATCTCAAGTTCTATACAACCGATTTACTTGAAATTTTGTGTGAACCTTCTTTATATAATCCTTTATCGTTCGTACTAGCATCGTGTCAAAATAATTGTTTTTAATATGGAACAAACATTCAGGAATTCCCAAAAAAATAAAAAAAAAAAAACGTTAAAAATGATTTTTTTTT